AATATCAGGCTGGTCCTTAAGAAACCTGGATTTTATGCCTGGCTGCCTCCAGAGCTTGGGCAGGTCATTGGAACTCCTTTCTTTACCTATGTACTGAGAGTGTAAGCGAAGGTCAACTACCTCGTTCAGGTTAGTAACAGAACTCAAAGACTGTGATGTGCTTTTAGCCTCTTGGGAAATAAAAATATAGGTGTGTAAGTGACCAGGATATGTGTTTTCTGACTGCAAATATATCTTAATTAGTCCCTGTACTCTGTGGTACAATATCCTCTGGGAGAAGGAACTGTTGTTTTCCAGGAAAAAAATATCTTCAAAAGACAAGGTCTTTGTGGGTTGCCTTTTGTTTTGTTGTTGGTTTCCTTCCCTGAGCAAAAGCTTTTTATTTTGGTGTAGTCTTTTGCTTTTGTTTCCCTTGCCTGAGGAGACATGTCTAGAAAAATGTTTCTGTGGCCAATGTCAAAGAAATTACTGCCTGTGTTTTCTTCTAGGAGTTTCATGGTTTCAGGTCTCACGTTTAGGTCTTTAATCCATTGTGGGTTTATTTTTGTGTATGGAGTAAGAAAGTGGTCCAGTTTCATTCTTTTGAATGTCTGTCCAGTGTTCCCAACACCATTTGTTGAAGAGACTGTCTTTTTACCATTGTATATTCTCTCCTGCTTCATTGAAGCTTAATTGACCATATAATCATGGGTTTGTTTCTGGGCTCTATTCTCTTTCATTGATCTGTGTGTCTTATTTTTGTGCCAGGACCACACTGTTTTGATCATTATAGTTTTGTAGCATATCTTGAAATCTGGGATTGTGATACCTCTAGCTTTTTCTTCTTTCTCATTGCTTTGGCTATTCAGTGTCTTTTGTGATTCCGTACACATTTCAGTATTATTAATTCTGGTTCTGTGAAAAACGTTGTTGGTATTTTGATAGGGATTGCATTAAATATATAAGTTGCTTTGGATAGTATGGGCGTTTTAAGAATATTGGTCCTTCCAATCCATGAGTATAGAAATCTTTCCATTTGTTTGTGTCATCTTCAATTTATTTCAACAGTATTTTATAGTTTTGAGAGTACAATTCTTTCACTATCTTGGTTAAGTTTATTCCTAGGTATTTAATTATTTTTGGTGGAGTTGTAAATGGGATTGTTTTTGTTCATTTCTCTTTCTGCTGCTTCCTTATTAGTGTATGGAAATGTAACTGATTTCTATATATTAACTTTGTATCCTATTACTTTACTGAATTCATTTATCAGAAGATATTTGCAAATAACATATTTGATAACGGGTTAATAGCCAAAATATATAATTAACTTATACAACTCAAAACCAAACAACAACAACAACAAATAATCTGACTAAAAAATGGGTAGAGGACCAGAAATAGACATTTTTCCAAAGAAGACATACAGATGGCCAACAAACACATGAAAAGATGCTCACCATCACTCAACATCAGAGAAACGCAAATCAAAAGCACAATGAGATATCACCTTATACCCACTAGAAGGGCTAAAATAAAAAAAACACAAGAAATAACAAGTATTGGTGAGGGTGTGAAGAAGGAATCCTCATGGGCTGTTTGTGGGAATGCAAATTGGAGCAGGCATTTGGAAAACAATGTGGAGGTTCATCTAGAAATAAAAATAGAATTGCCATATGACCCAGTAATTCCACTTCTGGTATTTACCCCCCAAAATAAAACAGTAATGAAAACAGTAATTCAAAAAGATATGTGCCTCTTATGTTTATTGAAGCATTGTTGCAATAGCCAAATTATGGAAGCAGCCAAATATCCATCCATAGATGAATGGATAAAGAAGATGTGGTATAAGTACACAATGGAATATTACTCATCCATAAAAAAGAATGAGATCTTGCCATTTGCAACAACATGGGTGAAGCTAGAGAATATTATGCTATGTGAAATAACTCAGAGAAAGACAAATACCATATGATCTCAATCATATGTGGAAGAAACAAAACAAATGAACAAAGAAAAATGAGACAAGCAAAAAAACCTCAGACTTTTTAAAAAAAATTTTTTTTTAATGTTTATTTATTTTTGAGACAGAGAGAGACAGAGCATGAACGGGGGAGGGCCAGAGAGAGAGGGAGACACAGAATCTGAAGCAGGCTCCAGGCTCTGAGCTGCCAGCACAGAGCCCGACGTGGGGCTTGAACTCATGGACCGTGAGATCATGACCTGAGCCGAAGTCGGACGCTTAACCGACTGAGCCACCCAGGTGCCCCAAACCTCAGACTCTTAAATACAGAGAACAAGCTGATGGTTGCCACAGAGGAGGTGGGTGGGGGATGGGTGAAATAGGTGAAGGGGATTAAGAGTGCAGTCATCTTGATGGGCACTGAGGAATGTGTAGAATTTTTTAATCACTATATTGTACACTATATTGTAAGTAGGATTGTGGAGCTAATACAAAGAAAGCATCCATGTGAAATGAAGAGCTTCCCTGAAGGGTTCTTAGGAAGCTGGGGTTCCCTGACACTTATATGGCTTTGCTGTAACCTGACCATGGTCATTATAGAGATGTGCTCTCAGGGGCACCTAAGTTAGCTCGGAGGATCCAGGCATAAACAATCACACCAAAACACAGACATCTCCACATACACAGTCACCCACATACACACTATTTTCTCACATACATTGTTCCAGGTGATGGAGTCTAGTGAGAATTATTTTGAAAAATATAAAAATCACACATTCAGACAGATTGGTGATGGTGTTTCCATAGTACTTGTGCTCATTCTCTCGTAGAGCATTTGTTTATTGTGTTCTAGGTAGTTTTAGTTATGTACAGTAGATAGATAACTTATCAAGGGCAGAAATGTTTTATTCATTTTTTTAAGATCCCCTGGTAGAGCATCTGCCACGTAGTAGGTTGCTTGTTTGGTTATTGTTTGTTAAAGGAAGGAAGGAAGGAAAAAATGAGTAAATGAAATGGAACCCTGGAGGAGCACCTCAGAACCAATTCTGCTTTGCCTTTTTGGGAAGCCTCAGCTGGCGAAAGAAGAGTGAAGGGCCAGTGTATCTCTGTTTTATTCCTTGAAAACAGGGAAGTGCTTTGAATAGATTTTTAAATGCCAGCAAAGATGTTACTAGAAAAACAAGAATGCTTTTTATGCAGGCTCAGCGGGTGACCCTCTCCTGATTCTAGGATAAATTTTTTCCAACTACACATGCATTTTGAAAGCACATTTTTCCTGGTGCTTGGCTCTCTGTGTGTTCTTTTATTCTACCCTGGCAAAGAAAGTTAAAGCATTATCTGGCAAGTTAGCAAAAGAGATCTTTTATGGAAGAGAATTTTGTTGTCAGTAGGTATGGTTTAGACTGCAGGGACTGAGGCTGTGAGGGAGCTCTCAGTTTGAAGCACTTTGTCACATGCTGGGCCTCTGTTCCTGGTTCCTTGTCTGTCTAAGAGCTCTGCCATCAGACTGCATTTCAGAGGCAGCTCTTACCTTTAATTCACGGGAAAGAAACAGATTCTCAGAACCAAGCCTGTGACCAGGACGAGTCCTGCATGCTTCTAGCCTCAGGTCAATATCATCTTCCCTGATATTTCTTCCATCTGGGATTCTCTTCTTCCTCTTCTCTTCCTCTACCCTAACCCTCCTTCAGGCCCCAGCCATTCCAGCTGATAGGATTTGCTGTGTTTTCTGAACTGTCTCCTTGTTATTTGTGCCATGAGGTGTCATTATTTTATTTGAGTTCATTTTATTTCCCAAGCATGTTGAGCAGAGGAACCAGATCTCCTACATCTTTGGATTTCTCCCAGCGAGGCAGTCACTCCTTTTTGATGGCATTATAAAAAACAAAACAAAACAAAACAAAAAACACATTGAATAAATTAGCCTCTGCAGTTAGAGCTCAGGGATTTCCAGAAAGCTGTTATGTGGACTGTTGTTTGGGGGGTTAAGGAAAGTAGTGAATATAGAGACAAAAGGAATAAAAAGGAAGGACATGCAAAATGTCAAAATATCACAAAATATCCAACCAGTAGAATCTTTCATTAATTTGCTTCCAGAAAACTCTTATTTAAACTGTGCACACACATATGTGTACACCTACATGTACACACATATTTACACACATGTACTTACACATATACACACATATGTTCATATACACATACCTAATTTATGCACATATCACAAATGTATATGCAGTAAACCCTCAGCGGAGTATCTTACCAGATTAGCTAGGTGTTACCATTTAGAGAGCAGGACATAGGCAAATAAATAAGCTTTGGTAGAGAAAGTAGGTCTAGACCAGTCCAGAGCCAGAGGCCTGGCCCAAAGAGGGCTGTCAGGACCCTGGAGCCTGAGGTGCCAGGTACCTGGGACAATTGGTCACAGGGAGGAGAGACAGGGAAGTAGTGCAGGTGATTGTGGGTGCTCGGGAAGGTGCGACCCAGGGAAGGTGCACAGAGCAGCTGCGCTCCAGCCTGGTCATTCCCTTGAGGTATGAAGAAAGGTTTCTGGAGCCCTACATGAAAGAATCTTTTACCTTTGCTCATTCAGTCTTGAAGACTGTTTGTGTTTGGCACACGCAGGAAAGCTCATAGACAAGGATTCTTGTCTCACCTTCTCTGGATTTTAGCTTTCTCATCTGTAAAATGGAATCTATGTTTATGTCTTCTGTACTTCATAGCCTTCTTATGGCAAAGAAGGGTAATAAGGCCCCTTTCCATGACACTAGGTGACCCCGATGGGCTAAGCCTGTGGCAGATCAGACCTGTGGCCTCTTGTGTCTGAGTTTCATTTACTAGATCTGCACGTTTAAATTTCATTGTTTTCTCCGTAAGATACGTATCAATACAGGTAATTGTGATGGCCAGCCAGAAATGGCTTGCTGACCCATCTCTGCTCTTTCGGTAGTTCACTCAGTTTACTTCGAGAACCTTTTGCACTTTACAAAACAGGTATTTGTTTGGACCTTGCCTGTTATTGTGAACACAGGACCAGACATACATGTGTTTTGTTTTCTAGGGAGATGTGCATCCAACAGGATGGGAGAATTCATCTCACAGTTGTTTACTTTGGGAAGGAAGAAATGAATGAGGTCAAAGGAATACTTGAAAACACTTCCAGGTAAGTCCGATGTGAACTGTCATAAAGACTCATAGTAACTGAGCTCAGAGACATACATCCAAGGATTGAACTTCTGCTTCAGTTTTGTTTTCCTTAACACTGTGGGTCAACTGGGGGATTGAATGTTTGCCAGCTGTGCACCCTCCTTCCCCGGGAGACCACCCCACCTGACGCTGGTCCCCGCTGTGCAGGGCATTAACTTTGACAATTGAGATAAACTTCCCTGAGCTGTAAGGATGGGGCCACAGGCTTCCTGGAGATTCTGCATGACTGGATGTGTCAGTATTGCTGATCTGGGAACTTGATGTCACAGAGTGGGAATGAGGGATGCCATATGTGTGTAGCGAGCTCCAGCTGAGTGCTATCCGTGCTCCAGTTTCATCCACTTAGCAAATGGTCTCACCCTGTTGACTTTCATTCATTATGCATATTGAGAGATTAGGGGGAAGTCAGGAGTGATGGCTAGGACAGGATCATTGATTAAGCCTATTCAGCTGAACAGAAATTATCTAACACAAAACTTTAGACTTAGGCTTGTATTTTTGTACTTCACTGATCAATTGTATGGGGGAATCAATGAAAGCATCCCAGATGGACTTTTTCCCTACCCACATAAATGGACAAGTATTTAATAAATATCTCGGGCATTTTCTACTAGTGAGGAGGCCAGAATGGTACAGCCACACTCCCTTCTGGTTTGCTGTGGAGGACTGCAGACCTCACTTGAGTAATCAGGTGGGTGGTTTCTCCATAAGTGAAGCTTGGAGGGTGGTCAGCAGTACTCAGAAGCAGAAATAGTCTGAAGAACTCCATATGGTCTAAATATAAACAGAGCCCCCTGTTTTGAGTTTCTGGTAAATGGGAAGAGGATGATAGTCCACAGATAAGATTACAAGATTCAGAGCACTTTTTGTATTTATTTTCATACTTTGTTACTAATTTTGTATTAATGGGCACAAGATCAGAATGCTAATTATAATAACTCAAACGTTCTAAAGCAGTCCACTGGTCAAATTTCGTCCATCTCTTGTTTCTGTAAATAAAGTTGTATTGCAATGCAGGCATGCTTCTTTGTTTACATATTATTTATGTCTGTTTTTGTGCTATAACCGCGGAGTTGAGTAGTTGTGACAGAAACAGTATGACTTGCAAAGCCTAAACTCTTACTCTCCACTCCCTTATAGAAAAAGTTTGCTGACCTCTGTTCTAAAGCAGTATGGAATTCAGAGTTTGAAACCAGTAACAGCTTAAAAGCTAGGCCCCTGTGGAAGGGCGATCAAAGAGAGTAGAATAACTGATTATCCGACATGTAAGTAAAATAGAAATCTCTCGACTCCAATGTATTTCAGTATCCTTTTCATCTCTGCTTCAGAATGAGGTGCATGGATTATTAGAATTCACGTCCTCTGCCTAGTGGATATGTTTTAACATCTCTGGAAGTATCCATTCCTGGGCATGGATCTTTTTTTTTTTTTTTAAGTTTCCCAGTTGCTTCTAACACATAGCCAGGATTGAGAGTCATTGTTTGAGAAAGCGGTGGGCCACCCCAGGGGCTGCCCAGGAGAGGCCTTAATTGCAGCCAGCTGTCCCAGTCCAAGGTATTTTTAAGTAGTTATCCAGGTGACTGTAAAGTGCAGTCAAAACTGGGTCTGTCACCTTCTGAGCACATTAAAGGACATTTGCTGGTTAGTATAACAAAATTGACATAAATCTGATGGATAAGTGGAAGGCCAGTTTTGATGTTGTTATGGGAGATACCCTTTCTAGTGACTGGAATGCTTAATGACTCTTATTAAGGTGTTCTTCTCTCTATCAAATTACCTGGCAAGCTGAATACTTGGTCAGAAGGTTGCTTGGTGAGCAAAGAATGAATAGAATCTGAACAAGAAAAGTAGAATCATTTCAGTGGTAGGGACGGTTTACTTAAAGTTTTGGAAAATTCCAAGTGAGTAATCTATCCATAACTGAGAACTTTGTGCTAGAGACTGAGTCCGTCAGTGCTTTAAAGCCGTGCTATGGAAACTCTAGAGAAATTAATTGGAACCCTATTTTTCTGTGTTGATGTTCTCATTGTGCTAACTGGGGATATCTGCAAGGTCGATGTGGCAGGTCCTACCCCCTCCCGGTGTTGCTTTCATCAGACAACCTCCCATAGGATGCCCCACCCTCCACAGCCAGCTTGAGTTGACTTTAACAGGGCAGCACCACCACACCGCCTTCCAGATCACTCTCCCTAATCACCTATTGCCCGAGCCTCCTACCCAAACTGGCTTTAATTTCTAACCTTGTCTTGATGACTTACTGTCCCCATCCAAACTGGGAGGCGTGGTTCGCCCCTTCGTCTTGGTTCCCATTATTGTCTTCTGCTTGGAATTCTCTCCATCCTCCTTTCTATGCACTCAGACCCCCACCCTTTTATCCCCACCCCACCCCTGAGTGCCCACTTCTAGAGCTCTTCCTGACCAGTCCTCTCTCTGAACTCAGACTACACTCCCTGTCAGCATCTCTGCTGTCTGGCACTTGGCATATGATTTGGGTATTCACATTTCTTTCTTTTGTCCTAACTATAGACTATCAGCTGCTTAGTAAGTAGTACCATATGTACCATATCACGTGGCTCTTTATAACTCTGGCACCTAACATGGAGTCATAGTCAGAAAACATTCAGTGTTTGTTCATCAAGAGAAGGGCAATGCCAGGTACACAGTATATTTGTATTCTTAGTAAACTGTATGAAAGCTTGTATAATAAGCCCTATTTAGATGTAATTTTTATCATTCTTTTAAGATGGTAAAATGCATCTTATATTTGAATAATAATAACCATTATTATTTACATGAATTATTTAATATTCACAGCAACCTTATGACACAGATGCTGTCATTAGCCCCATTTCATAGAAGAAGAAACTGAGGCTTGGAGAGGTCATTCCTCAGGCTGCCATCCCTACCACATGGGAGAGCCAGGATCTGAACCTCATCCGTTAACTACTGGTACTCACAGGCTTAACATTGCACCAAATTTTTACTCCAGTTTATTTCCTTCTGAAACCCACAATTGTCAACTGAAAATAATAAGAGTTGAAATCAGCCTAAATGATATTTTACTTCATTAGGATACCAGCATTGTGATTAAACTGTTCTAAATGCAGCTAAATGTATATATATATTTAGAATATCTTTTAAAAATCTAGTTCGATTCATGCCATGTTTGTACTCTGTCTTCTAGATTTATGCTTACTTGGTTGAGCTTTACATTTCCATTGATGGCTGTAGATCAGTGTTTTGGAAACTGCAATTTGTGATTCATTAGAGGGTTGTGAAAAAGCTTTAGTGGGTTATGTCCAGTGTTTTTAAAACATTGCAATAGAATAGGATAAAAATATCAAAGTGCATTACAAGAAGTAAGGATAAATATTGTTTTAGAACACTATAAAGTGTGTGTGTGTGTGTGTGTGTGTGTGTGTGTCTACTGTTTCATGATGTATAACATACTCCTTTGTAAGGGTTGTAGTCAAAATATTAGCAGCTTTTAAAAAGCTACTTCCATAGATAACAGTACAAATCAGTTTCTCAATATCTGATTCTTTTTCCATAGAGTTTTCCATCTTAAGTTGCAGTTAATCTCAGATTAAAGCCTAGCTTAATTTTTCTCAAATAGAAATGTGCTTTGGGAATAACCTGGGGTGCTTTTTAAAACACAGATTCCTGAGATCCAGCTTCAGAAGTTTTGAGTCAGTAGGCCTGAGATGAAGAAGCTTGGTAATGAACACTTGGCAATGAACAACCCCACATGTGATGCTGATTTGGGTGGCCCATGGCCCACACTTTGCTGACCTAGGTAGACATTTGCTTGGAGCTGTGTATTAGGAAATTAAAAAAAAAATGGCATGAGTTAACATTTTCTACATTGCAACTTCATCTTTGTCCAATCATAAGGATACAAAGGCATCTCTCAGAGGTATTATCTCTGAGATCAAAGTACTAGAAATGAGACACTGCCCTGTCATTGCAAGTATGTGACATAAAAGAGGGTTTTTTTTTTCCTGTGTGTTGTCAGGGACCTGCCTTACTACGGTGTGTGTCATCATTTCGTGCCTCTTTGAAAAGGTTTGTTTGACACATCCCCTCAAGGACGTGATTTTTATCAGGACATCCCAGAAGAAAATTGGGGAGAAAGGTTTTATTCTGGTGTGTTTTCTTTTCATTTGTTTCTTAAATTTGAGCAGAATTGTTGCTTTGCTTTAATTTTTCCCTAAGGAATTTTAAGATACTATATCATTTGCTAAAATCAAAAAAAACAACACAGCAAATACTTCCCAAGAAGATAAGGAGTCTTGAACCCTGGGAAGCACCTCACATATTAAGGCAGCATCTCAGGCCTGTGGCCATTCCATTCCTGGCATTTGCAAGAGGGTCTAAGTATGATTCTTCTTGGTACAGATTCTGCTCTTTTTGGAGATGTGCCTGTATTAGGTGTTCTAAATTGTTCTTTGGGGGATTTGAACATAGCATATAGAGTATATTATTGTAATAATGTTAAATTTCCTGAGTGTGATTATTATATTGTTATAATGTTATAAAGGAGAGTGGCCTGGTTCTTGGGAGATACTTCTCTTCAAGGGTAAAGTTGTCACCATATCTGCAACTAACCCTCAAATCGTTCAAAGCAGGTAGGCAGGCAGGAAGGCAGGCAGGATGTTAACACTTGGTAAACCTAGGTGAAAGATATGTGGATACTTATATGTTATTGTTATATTTGTGAAGGTTTGAAATTTTTTCAAATAAAAATGGTAGGAAAATATATTATGAAAAAAATTAAATGATATTGTTTATAAAATGAAATATAATTCAACAGTTAAATAAAGGTGATGTCACCAAAAATGGTAGAATAAAAACTTGTGTAAATGCTTTTCATAAAGCAATGAGAAAATGGCTAAAAATGGTCAGAATCAACTTTTTAAGAACTCTAGAAATTAAACAAAACTTGCAATAATCTGG